ATGTAAATATATCCTATAGAATTAATTGAATTTACATCATTATGAAAATCAATTTTAATTTTCAGTAATGTAAATTTTCTATTGTATTGATGCAGCAATTTTATTAAAAGTTATATTCAGATTTTCATATTACATTCTATATGACTATATATTGCTTTGAACAAATTTTGATAATCTTTTTTTCATATTGTTTTTCATGTTTCTATTTCGTTATTTGTTGCAGGGAGAAAATATAATATTTTTGTTTTATATAAATTCTTTTCAACTTTACTATATGTTTGTAGTATAGGAATTGACTGAACAGTAAGATCTATCTTGCTGAGAGTTCATGGTAAATTTTTAACGGCATATTTCAGAATTCCTGAGATATAAATAACACACACACACACACACACACATATATATATAAAATAGAATATTTACTGCGTGTGCGTCTGTATGTTCTCTGTCTGTATGCCAGACCCCTAAATCCTTTGACTGATGTGAACCATATTTTGCATAGTTACTCTCGAGGACACTGCGGAAAATATAGGCTATCATGAAACCTGGACATCCTACTCTCTCCTCCTGATTCTATTCCCTTGACACTTTGTGATAACACGGGAAACTTCGGATAGTTTAAGCTAGTATGATATATATGATAGTCGATTTCGTAAAATATACATGATAGTAAATGCAAAATGTTAAATTATTCCTCGGTTACAAGATTTTACAGTAATTTTTACTATGAAATTTTCTTTTTGTGATTGAATTATTGGAACCATCAAACACAAGTATTATAGGAATCATTCATACTCGATAAAATTTTTATTCCATAGTCCTAATCGGGTTGATCTCAGTTATCTAGTTTATGTAAGAATCCTAATTATTAATAAGAATCCTAACTAATAATAATCTTTATTGTTAATAAATTTCTGCTATGCTGCGTTACGTGACTTATTAGGATCCGATAACATTATCTGATACAAACCAGATAACTGATGGAGATAAACCTGGACAAGGCAATGCAACCTTTACAAAATGACTAATAAAGTGTCGTCAAATTTACGTGCACCTGTTTATCTGGGTATCCGCGACGCTTTCGCTGGTGTATGCTTGTGTGTGATTGTAAAATGATGACTTTCTCAGCGTGACGTCGAAAGTCGGTAATTATCGGGCGCGCTGATTTTCAGAGTCGCGGACACGCGTGCGATTTCATTAAAACTTGAAATTGCATCACGATATTGAGACGGCGGATTCCGCGCGACGGCTTGCGTTCTTGGCGAAACACGTCGCACGAAATATTTGCCCGTGCCGGACGTACGGAATTTACTGCCGCCGAATGAGAGAAGCACCGGGCGCGCCGCGAGCGAGCGAATGAGCGTTCCAAAATTTTACGGATAACAATACGACGTCGAGCGGTTTGTCGCTCCGAAGATATCTGTTGGCGCAGCTGCGTTCGTCGCGATCGTAAATAATGGTCGTGCCTGAAGCGCGTCGAATAGGAGTCGTATAGGCATTGCCCGCGCTCTCAGGAACTACCGGGACGATTCGTGAAAATACCCGCGCCTAATTACGAGCATTACACGCTCATGTTACACGCGGATGCCTTCATAGCGCGCGGAGCGCAGCCTTGGATTCCTACTTCCGGACGATCTTAAGAAGATTCACGCGTTCTGCCGCGGTGTCGCGTAAATACCTCTCGAGTTATCTCTTAATTAGTCTCCGGAGCGCGCTATTTAAATACTGCACGGTAGTCGCGCAGCACCCAGTGTGTACTTATGTGCACACGGGTGCCTCGCACGGGTGTGTACATTTGCGTACGTATTAGTGTTATGTATGTCTTCTGTGAAGGCTCGTCTACAATAAAAGATTTAAGAGAACCATCTTACTCAAGAGAAATATTTCCGATGCGAGGGAGCTAGAGTATGGAGAAGCGCGTGAGTGAAATGAATTACTTTTATTTCTCGCAACTTATATGTATGCCAAGCTTACTCTGAGTATCGTAGATACCTTACTCTGGATATCGTAGAGCCTTAAGAGCAACGGAAAACAAGAGGGGTAACGATGTACAATTTCTACAGTGTGTGAAAAAAATTTGCGCGCTGTCCAGGAGAGAAAAACACACACATACACACACACACATACGCACGGGGAAATTCGATCTCCCGCGGGACGCGACGCGCGAGTAATAAATCGTCGAATTAAGGATTACGTTAACGTAACAGGTCCCATGCAACGATCTCCACTATACAGCAACTCTGTTCTCCCGATGGTGTGGCGAAAGAGGATTTGCTCATCACTCCGTGTCTCGTATACGCTCTCTGCCCTCCTCCGTTCTTCCCTCCCAACTTCTTCTCTCTCTCTCTCTCTTTTTCTATCTCTCTCGCGCGCGCGATCCGAACGGATTTGAAGCACGACATTTCCTCGCGCGTTATACGCGCGGATACGCCGCGAGCGCAGGTGCGCAGCGAGCGGATTACGGGCAATAAAAGCGCAGTGAAATCTGTTTTGTTCGTGTAGTGTATGACGAGAGGCAGCGTCCTCTCGCCGAGGTGCGGAATGAACTTAGTGTCGTGAAAATTCAATGGCGCAGCGATGATAATCTATGATTTGGAAATAGCCGAGTGCCTCCTCCGACACCCTCCTTCATTCCCCGCTCGTCGCCGCGGTGTGACAATGTAGTTTACAGAAAAGGCTTTTTCTTCCCGATCGAAACATAGAAACATACCATTCTCCGCGAGTCGAAATTCTGCTCTTATTGTTTTGGCCTCAATATTCCGTTAAATGCTTATTTTGGTACTCTGAAGTCCGGATCAACCTCTTTTAATTCTACCTCTTTTGATTTAACCTACTAATCTTGCTAAGAGGTCCTTTAGGATCTAAAAGTAGCATTTTGTGCGTTTTTTGCCAGTTGGAGGCGTTAAGTAGGATTTTAGTTTCTATGTGTGTGTTAAACATACACTCTGACTTTTCAGAATATACAGATGTGAGAAAGTTTAGATTAAAAGAAGGGCTAAAATTTCGACTCGGGTCGCTGCTAAGAAAAACAATTACTCTTAATTTACTTTTTTAAATAATAATAATAGCTATTTTCAATAAAAAATAATTTCTTGTTAACAGTCTTAAGATATGCTCATCATTTAAGACAAGTTCGTTATTATGTGCTCGAAAAAGAAGAATTCATTCTCTTTACAAGAATAAAACTTTATCGAAGGAAAAGTTGGTTCGACTTTAAGCAAACTTTTATTTTAATTTCATATTCCTGATTGAAATACTAAACTTTCGAGCAATCAGAATGTATTTTGAATAAATTGAATGCTTATAGTGAAGTTATAATAAATTTACCTAATGATTTTTTAATTTATCTTAGAATATTTAACTTTTAGATTTTAGATTTAGATTTTTTTATTTATGGATATATGGATATATAAACTTATAAAATATATTAGAAACATTTATTTAAATGTAGTATGTATTTTTCCGTATGTAGAAAGAGATTTATCTAGAAAAGTATGCTTATTATTGTTGATTATTGTTGATTGTCAAAACGATAAAAACTGAATTGAGAAGCAAAAAGGTTTTTCCATCATTGATTTCCAAAACGATATCGTGTATGCACCGGAACGAATAGTTGAACGATGTCGCATCGCGTTCATAGAAACGACATCTCGATAAATCATTCAGAATTGACGATATGCCAAAATAAACGTGACTGCGCGGGATAAACAAAAAATACGTCAGCCGGCTAAATGACACCTTCAATCGTTCGCGATTTGTGCGATATTCGTGCATTTGAAAAAGGGAGTGCTCCATGCATCGGTTTTATAGGACACCCTCCGTCCTTCATGCGTCGTCGCATAATAGCAATAATACTATTGGAAATCGAGAAGAAAATGGTGTCTTTGATTATTAAAACGCGAAAACTGTTCATGTGCCGATGACGGCTTGAATAATGTCGCATGACATTTATCGACTCAATCATTCAAAATTGACGACACGCAAATGCGAATGTGACTGCGCGAGGTAAACAAACAAATATACGTCAGCCAGTTTAAATCACGCGTTCGATCGTTCGCAATTTGTGCGATATTCGTGCACGATGAAACGTGATTGGTTAAGTGAACATGACAACGACACAGTCGGACGCGTTTTTTGCTTCCCAAAAACCGAATTCGGTTATCAAGAATTAAAGATTCAGTTTCTTTCAATCAGAACGCGTTTAGCTGAATGACGTTGTCACATCAACTCAGGACCAATACTTCCTCTTCGTGTATTCGGAAAAGAGAGCGCTCGTTGATCGGTTTTCGAATCAAATTGAATTACAGTCAAGACACGGGGCTCGTTGCCGAGAGAATTTCCGCTGATTTTCTGAGCGATTGAAGCGCATTACAGCATTGACTGCGCGCGTATGTATGTTCTGCCTAGCTTTACACAACGTTAACTAACCAACCAACCCTCTTACGCTTTCAACCCCGGCAAAAGCCGGCCCTCGAGTCACAGAACGTCAAAGGCTTGAAACCGGAGATCACTAAAGCGGCGTTTCCGCCTCTCTCTCTCTCTCTCTCTCTCTCTCTCTCTCTCTCT